TGGGACTTTCAATGGACTTGAATTAATCGCCTGCCGTTTGCCATGGTTTGGTAACATCGGGACTGTGCCTTTTTACATGTCAACCTTAGGCTTGTCAGTCTCAGCAGCCAGCAGCTGAGTGAAGAAAAACCTCTAGCTTCTGTGGGCTGGGAGCAGGAGGCAGAGCTGAAGCCAAGGCTGAGGGGCTTTTACCCAGCCCCTAGAGCCTGGCACTTTGAACTCGGACTTAAAGCTTCAAAACTGTGAAAGAATAAACTCCTGTTCCTTCAAGCCATCCCATTTGTGGTATATTCTTGTCAGAGTGGCACTAGGTAACCAGAATACAAGGCAATATTATAAACTCATGCAATAAATCATGCCTTCAGTATCTTCAGAGAAGAAAGGTTTCACGTAAACTAAATGAGGCCATGTAATCAAAAATTCTTTGTAAAGTGTAAGGTTGTGTATCAATTGCAGTTGTCATTATTATTAATACCTGGTTATAATATCAAACATGTAAATGACATATTTGAACAGATACTTGTATAACAGTATTCACTCATCAGTGTCAATAGTTATTGTGTACTTTTTGTGTGCCAAGTAGGGCAAACAATATTATCACCATTATAAAAAAGAAGAAATTGTGGTTCTGAGAGTCTATGGTTTACCCAAAGTCACATAACTTGGTCACTAATTCATTCATTTGGTTTCTAATTCATTCTCAAACTTGCTGCCTTCTAGGGCTGAAATGACCAAGAATTATGTTTGCCAAGGCCCTTGATTTTAATTAATTTTTTAATGTGATTGTTTAAATGCCTTGGGAGAAGTGTGACTATTCCTATTTCTGTGTGCACAGTAGCATTTTCTTTAATTCCTCTTACATGGAGTTCTCAGGAGCTATGCTACAGAAATGGATGCATACAGTGCTAGATGTTTACATTATTGGCTAACATTTGTTGTGTGTCAGGCATGGTGCTGAGCATTATGCAGACATAATCTCATTTAATTTTAGTCTTCTGAGGAAGGTATTATCATTCTTCTTTCATATATAAGAAAATTAAGTCTCAGAAAGATTAAGTAGCTTGCCCAAAGTCATAAGCAGAAATGTAAATGGCTTGACAATCCTCATAGGACATTTAAAAGTTCATGAAAATTAGAGCTGAACCAACAGATTTCTATGATTCCTACCTGAAGAGCCAGTAGGTATGGCAAAAATGCTGAACTAAGGATAAAAGTAAGAGACAGGGCTGGGTCCATGTCTGGTTTTGTTTAACTCCAAAGCTCATAGCTTAACTACTCTGCTACACTGAGACATAGGTCTGGTTAAGTTTGTAATCATTTGATTCCCCACCCAATTATGATAATACATTTTGGGTCATCATCATCATCATAGTGGTTAAAATTTATTGAGCACTTACTATGTACTGGAATGGTGTGCATAAGTACATGCCAGCTGAATCAAAATTATAAGCAGTGATAAGGTCTACTTATCACTTCAAGCAGGGATGAGGACTCTATTTGCAAAGCCAATTACGGTGCATACACAAAGATACTTTACTGAATGCTGGCAATTAAAAACTGTTATTATTTTTGAAGGTAAATAGTAAACAATAGTCATAGGTTAATCATAGAAAGCAAACAGCAAACAACAGGAACAGCCTTGAGGTGGATTGGTCTCCTCCACCCCTGACATTGTAGGAGAGGAACCCATTTACGTCTAAAAGGAGTCCTGCTCACCATTCCCAAATTACTCATGTCCATTTCTGTGTCACAGGGCAGACTTGTCAAGTGGACCAGGCGTCAGCAAGCATCTCTTTCTCGGCAGGTGTGCCATCAGTTTTGGTCAGGTGTACTGTGGCTGTATTTGTTCTTTCTCTGCTGCTTTTCTCAGCTGGGTCTGGCCCCCCCCGTGCTTACTAGTTCAGCTCCCAACCAGCAGCTTTGGGACAACTCTGGGCCAGTGCCAGGTTAGGAAATTATTACAACAACTCTCAAGTTAAAGCTGTTTTATGGGCAACCCCTGTAGGATGTAGGCTCAAGCCTCTGAAGGCAGGCTCCTGACCCTTAGAATTGGCTCCCTCTTGGCCTTAGTTTAAAGTTCTCAGCACAGTCGACTGCTTCCAAAGGCAGGTCAGCTTAGGCCCCATGTGCCATTTGCTCTGCGCAGGCATGCACTGCATGGGCCTGGACTGCAGCTACTTCCCCTTTATGGTGCAGCCAGCTTCACTGACAACCTCCTGCCTAGAGGTGCCAATTCTGCTCTGTGAGCCAACTCTGCCTACCACAGCTGTCTCCCTCATGGGCCAACTCTGCCCACCACTGGTGTCTGCCATGGCAATATTGTCACCATTTCTCTGCTGCTCAGTTGTACTGTGTTTGCTGCAATTTCTCACCATCTCCAGTGTTACCATCTCAGTTTTACAATCCTTGACCTGTATTATAGCTCTTCTAGGAGGTTCTCAGTGGAGGGCCCTATGTCCAAAAGGCACAGTCTCCTCTTGTCTTTTGTTCATCAGAAGCCCTATCTGAACCTCTAGGTTCTAGGGTTTTTATCAGTCACTGAGTAGGCTCTCCATCCAATCTGAGTAAAGATCAGACTGAGGGGAGAAGGCAGCCAATTCAAATGCACTGCCATCGAGTCCTTTCCAACTCACAGCAACCTCCATTTGGGTTTCCCAGGCTGTAAAATCTTTACATAAGTAGATCATCCAGTCTTCCTTCCACAGAGTATCTGGCAGGTTTGAACTGCTGACTTTTCAGTTAGTAGTCAAGTGCCTTACCACTATGCCACCAAAGCTCCTTTTAAAAGTAAGTACCAAACCAGCCAAATAATCTCTTGGAAGCTCTTTATGCAGGCAGCAAGTTGATCAATCCATTAGCAGACTGTGGTCTGACCAATTATTTTATAGGATTACAACCCAGGGCCAGAGAGACCAAATAAAAGAATACCCATTACATCACAATGCTAACACTCTTCTAGGTAAGGATAAGGAGGTACCCCTCCATATAAAAGCTTTTTTTTGAGGAGTTGGAAAGCTTTTGCTAAAAGAGGTCAAAAATTAAAGGTATTTGACTGCTAACCAGAAGGCTGGTTGTTCAAATTCACCAGCCACTCCTTGGAAGGAAGGTTGGGCAATCTACTTCCATAGTGATACTGCCTCGGAAACCAGGAGGGGTCCAAGGGATAAGGGATATCCAAAGGGATAAGACAATAAGTGAATAAATAAGGAGGGGTCGCTATGAGTGGGGTCTGACTCGATGGCACATTAACAACAACAACCAAGTATTATTCTAAGTAGCCCTGGCAGTGCAGTGGCACAATGGTTAAAGCACTCAGCTGCTAACCAATAAGTCTGCAGTTTGAACTCAGCAGTGCCTCCATGGGAGAAAACATCCAGTGATCTGCTCCCCTAAAGATTACAGGCTAGGAAACCTTATGGGGAAGTTCTACCCTGGGGTCCCTTAGTCAGAATTGACTTGATAGCACACAAGTATTCTACTGTTGGATTCTTGATGCTGAAAAGCTAGTGTGTATGCTTTTGACTAACCTATTTTTCTGTGCAGGTATAAATAATTCATTCCACAAAAGATCACTGTTGTGGTTTGCCAGGTATTGTGCTGTGAGCCATAATATAGCTGCTAGGGTTTAGGACTCAAGAAGTATCAGGTCTGCCAGGGTTTAACGAAAAGGGACGAGATCTTTACCTATTGGGCAAATTTAACTTCTCTGGGCTTCAGTTTCTATTCTGTAAATAAGAGGACTGCATTTCCAGATCTTAATTATCTTAATTGTTTTCCTGACTTTCTGTGAGGGTTCTTCCTCCACATCTGGCACTTTTGCCATGTAAAGATATTCATCTCATATTATCCTAGCTTTGCAATTAATTAATTAATTCAACAGATGCTTATTGAACTTTTATTAGAGGATGAGACTGAAGTTGCCAATAATAGAAAAAAGGTTCCTCCCCTGAGGGAAAGCTCAGTCCAAAGGGATAAGACAATAAATGAATAAATAAAGTGTTTAAATAATTAAATACAAAGAATTATTGATAATTAACACAATTAATTATTAATAATATAAAACAAATACTGTGCTATAAAGGTGATATAAAGGAAATAAACTGAATGATTTTTTTAATCAGAAAATTAAGCAAATGATTGTTTCTTTTCAAACAATGATGGGCTAGTAAAAGGGGACGGAGATTGCATATCTTACAACCAACTAAATGAGTGAATAGCCATTACCTTCGAAAATTGTATTGTGGCTGGTCTACTCTGTATCTTTTCCTAGGAATGGGAGAGGAAAGGATTTCTCAAAAAGAGCAGCTAAGAGAAAACCTTTTTGGTAAGTCCCGCGGAGAAACTGAAATGAGAGAACCTGTAATCTGGTAAGGAAATTGCCAATATAGTCACAGCTCTAGTGGTGTAGTGCCTAAGGCACTAGACTGCTAACCAGAAGGC